CTGGTAAATTACGGAATACCAGCCCTAACTTTAAACTTCCCCATCCTCGGTAAACAAACCCTAAACTTTCGTCCAGTGCCATTAATCAACTCCCTCCTACATCTTTCCGACCAGAACACGAACCTGAAACTTTCGAGCAGAGCTCACTTCAGTTTCCGACTAATTTCGTTGCCATCACATTTGCAATTGAGCGTTCCTCACTTTCATTGTGGCAATAAATGACGAACATAATCAGTTACTGCATCTTCCGTCATAATGCCTTTCGATTTCAGCTGTCGAAAATTTCTGGTAAGGCTCTATTCTCCTCTTCTGCTCGTTTCACTAGCGTCGATGATGCCCTAGATTCATTTAATAGTATGCTCCACGCGAATCCCATGCCCTCCATTGTGAAATTCGGTCAATTATTGACTGCCCTTGTGAAACTGAAAGCCCCTGAGGTTGCGCTTTCCGTGGCCGAACGAATGGATTTGGCTGGCATTCCCTGCAACGATTACATACTTAACATGTTGATCCATAGCTACTGCAAATTGGGTCGCGTGGATTTCGGGTTTTCGATCTTAGGCAAAGCTTTTAAACTCGGACTTCAACCAGATGTGATTGCTTTCAATACTCTGATTGATGGGCTCTCCAAAAGTGGGAGAATTCCTGAGGCAGTGGAGTTGTTTAATAAGATGGTGGCTTTAGGATATAAGCGGGATGTGGTCACTTATAACGCGATTGTAAATGGGCTGTGCAAGATGGAAAAAACAGATGCAGGTCTTAGTTTGCTCAGACAAATGGAAGCTTTGGGTTGTTGCCCTAGTGTTGCTACATATAACACTGTCATGGATGCCCTATGCAAGAATGGTTTGATGTCAAAAGCTCTGGATGTCTTTTCTGAGCTAAAGAATAAAGGAGTTTCACCAGATGTTTTCAGCTACAATTCCTTAATTCACGGCTTATGCATCTCAAGCCAGAGGGCTGAAGCTTTGAGGATGTTGATTGAAATGATAGATAGTGACATCATGCCTGATGTATTCACCTTTAGCATATTGGTTGATGATTTCTGCAAAAACGGGATGATTTTGCAAGCTAAAGCTGTGGTCAACATGATGATTCAGAGAGGAGTACATCCAAACATTGCTACGTACAACTCATTGCTTGATGGATATTGTTTGAGAAGTGAAGTTGGCAACGCTAAAAGGTTATTTGACTTGATGTCCAGCCTGGGATGCAAGCCTAATGTTCGTACTTACAGCATCATGATCAATGGATATTGTAAAGATAAAAGGATCTCCGAAGCCAACCAGTTATTTTCTGATATGCTTGAGAAGGGTTTGACTCCAAATAATATTACATTTAATACTCTTATTGAAGGATTCTGCCTTGTGGAAAGGCATCAAGAAGCACATGAACTTCTCACGAAAATGGTTGATCAGGGTCAAGTGCCAGATGTTGTGACATATAGCATTTTGCTGTCTAACATGTGCAAACGAGGTAAGCTAGATGAGGCGTTGACTATGTTCGAATCAATAAAAATAGCAAGTTAAAGCCGGATGTTCGGATGTATAATATCTTGATCGATAGCCTGTTCAAAACTGTGAAGCGTGGGGAGGAAGCATGGGCTTTGTTTACTATCCTCCGCGAAGATAAGTTCTTACAACCTAATGTGTACACATATAACGTGGTAATTGGTGGGCTCTGTGGACAAGGTTTGGTCGATAAAGCTTATGATTTATTTAGAACAATGGAGGCGAGTGGTTGCGCACCGAATTCCCGCTCTATAATGCAATCATCGCTGGATTTCTTCAGCACAAAGATCCACTTGACGCAGTGGAACTCATTCAAGAAATGATTTCTAAGGGTTTCTCCTCTGATGCTACCACGATGTCCTTGATCGTAGGTTTGGATAATCCATATCTTGCAAAACTTTTAGATTCCTCAGATTTGGGTGACGAGGAGAAGCGGCTAAAGGGTTTATCAACAGATACAACTCAAGGAGGATCATGTGGTACCCAAAAACCTATTGAAAGTCATTTTAACCAGGATGAGCAAGTTACCGCTGGTTGCAGAGGCATGCAGTGAACATACATTGAGATTTTTGCATGTACAGTTGAGTTTTCTCCACGGCTGTAATTGGAATTCTTACCCATGATCGTTGCCACTCTCACTGACTGTGCTGTATTCTCCCTCTGCTCGCTGTTCTGCTGAATGTACTGATCTCAAGGCTCTGCATACTTGACAGATTTAATGCTTGTAGTTGTGATGTTGCTATTCATGTTAACAATTATGGCCATGGAGTAATACTAGAAAGGTATGATAGCTTAGCATTTTGTGTCTTTTGAAAGCTCAACCTCAGCCGTTTATGGAGTTGAAAGATTTATCTTTTTTCTTGGATGTTATCTCGTATTTTGAAACATTGATTTAGTTTGATGTGCTTATTTGTCATGAATAAGCTCCAACTTTTTAGCTTATTGATTCGGTGATGTTATGAAGTTGATTGGATATTTCATTTGTTGAGTAACCTGTGGTGTCTCCTCATCTGTGAATAACAGTGCGTCAGTTCATTTTTTTGTTGTTTCATTTTCTTTTCATTTCGTTGGGAAAAAAACAAGGACTTTATTTAGTTGGAGAGGAGGCAACGCATCAATTATTAGAGCTCCTACTGGAGTCTACTTATTACTTGGCAATAAATTTGGCAGTGGCTTTTGTATTGTGAACGACAAGCTCTTCTCTCGGCGGTTAGTTGTCTGATCACATTTGCCAGAAGAGAAATCAGTTTTCCTTACTGTTCCCGTAACAAGGAAAAGGAAAGTCACCATAAAAAGAGGAGGAAAAGAGAAACGGAAGAGAGAGGAGGACAGGAGACAAGGTCAAGCTTATCAGCACCGGCGGTTCGAGTTCGTGATCAACAAGGAAACCTCCATGGTTTCCAGGCAATTCGTGACATGCTCCTCCTGGTTTGTTTCTCTCGGCCCCTTCTCTTATTTCGATAGTTTCCCAAGTCAAATGGGTTGGAGAGAGTTCCTATCTGGGATTTGTTAATCTGGGTTCGTCGATTTTGACACAAAAGGTGACGCCTTCTGTTCAATTGAGTTGATTGGCGGTGCCAATTGAATTTACTAGTGGTGTCTGTTTTATTTTTTGAAAAGTTGTTGGGGGATGGCGGGTTGGCGAAATTCATTGTAAGCCTGCTTCTGTTCTGTCGTAAGGTTGATCTCCTATCATTTCAAATGGCAGGGATTTTTGCTGAGGTGCAGCATGTGATATGACTTTCCCTGAGAGAAGCACCACGATTCTGTAGAAAATCTGCCAGTATTTCCACTGTTCTCTTCAGTATGCTAGGTTCGGTTTCTTTTCCCCCCTTCTCTTATTTACTCCTTTTGTATTGTGTTGTTTCTTTCAAGGTCGTCCCTTTCTTCGCTAAAGGTCATTTGTACATGAACATTTTAGTTTGGTTTAGTTTGCTTGCGTTGAAATCGTCAATATTCTAGTTTACCATCATTCATCAAACCATCTGGCTGACTAAGCATGTTCTTGTGCTTCTGGAGCAAAGGCGCACTCAGAAGTGGCATTTCCTTATGCTTCGTTGACGGTGTACTGGATAATCGTTCTCTTATACAGTTAGCATTGGTTTCATCTTCTGGGTCTTTTTTTCCAAGTAAGAACAGCAGGGTTCTGGAGTTCTATGTGTCATTATTTCCATCCGTCAGCTCTGTTTGTTGAGTGGCTTGGCTCATAGCCCGCACATTTGATGCTTTTCTCCTGGAGATGAAGGCCCGTACTCCCTATGCCGAGGAACGTTACTCTTAAATAGTGTCTAGTGATTCTTGTTTGGACATTAAGCCCATTTCTTCATTCATGAGCTTTCAGTCAGTTTTATGATAATTGCGTGCATGTAATTTCAGGGATGTATAATATTTGTTAACTGAGTTGTTGATTATGCATGTTGCTCTGCTTTCCCTATGTTTAAACCTGACACCAATATAGATTGTAGATTTTGCTTCCTGTTTTGACATCTTCTGACTGAAACTTTTCCAGCAAAGTACTCTGTTTGATTTGCTCATCACTTGCACGAGCTGATTGTGTTTATACTGTTATTATTTGAATTGGACATGGTGTGGTCATGACATGAGTTGATGATGCTGCGTACGTAATGTGAAGTTCTTAAAGTCGCTAAATTAGGACTGTACTAAAGCTGACAATTTTTTGTTGTATTTTTACCAGTGGTAAGGAAACCGAGTTCCCAATTGAACCTGAACCGACTCTGGAGCGGCTGCTAATTAACTCCCGCACACTTAATTAGATTGGTTTTCCTGCTTGATGGCCAGTCATATGTAATGGTGAGCATACGGCATGTGGGATTGCCAGTTTTACTAAGGGAACTAGTAAAAACTTCGATTTAACCGAAGAACAAGTTGGGACTGTAGTTAGCAAACTGAATGTGGCCATTTAAATATGTACATTTGCTGCTGTAAATTAATCAGCTGTCGTGGAATGGTCTCCACCTTTCCAAGCAGTGCCTTTCTTTTGTGCGTTTGTTTGGTATAATGTAGGGGTCGTTGGCACTGGAAACATGAAAACATGAGAATTGAGACCAATTCCCACACCATGTAGGATTTGGGCAAAATTCCATGCGTGGATGGAACTATAAAATGTGGAAATTGATGGTGTGGAATTGTGGGGAAATACAAAAAAATGCTCTACTCTGTACCATGTCGTTTCCTTTTACCACAAAGCTCTCTTGCTCTTCTGAGTGGAGGTCAACAAGAAGCCATGTTATCTCCTCGTACACCTAGTTTAGATAAGGCCATAAAGGTAGGCTTGCAAATGAGCCAATGCGTTCGTGAGCAACTCGGTGTTCGAATCGAAAAAAGTTCGTTTGACACTCGATTTGTTAGTAAAAGAGCCAAGTTTGAGCTAGATCATGCTCAACTTGATAAGCTCGTGAGCTAACTTGACTCGGTGGCTTGTTGAGCTAAGGTCGCAAGCTGGCTTGTTTAGAGCTTGTGGAAAGATTAATTACTCTTTAGAACATGAACATTATCTTGTTAACACACATGTGTATGAAAGTTAGTTGTGATTTATAGTTTCTAGTGTTCTTTTTATCATTTAAACTCTTATGTGTACACATTTTTCTGCAATAACTATTTCAAATCGAGCTCATTTTGAGCCGAGCTTGTACTCAACTTGACAAACTGTGTTAGTTTATAAACAAGCCGAACTCAGGTTAAGCAAAAACTCCACTCAACTCGTATCTTTTGCAGCCCTACATAAAAGGCCTTTCAGTGTTCTTGCAGGAAAAGTAGATCAATCGGATAAATGCAAACACAAATTTCACAAGACTTGCAGTGTTCTTGTAATAAGAAAAAGTCAAATACATTTGCATTATCACCGCATAAGCTGAAGCGAGCAGTAGCACGCATTTACATGCAAGGAAGAATAATGAAAAAGAAGGTGAAGAATCAATGGCTAGGTGAAGGGATAAGGAGACGAAAGAGGTGAAGAATCAATTGTTGGTTTACGAGTTTTGATCGCTGTCGAAGAACAAGGAGATGAATAGCTAAAGATAGAGTGCATAACCTTAGAGTGCATAACTATGAGCAGGGGCGGACCCATTCATTCTTAAGTCTTGTCAGTTGACAAATCTTACTTAGAAAGTTGGGCCAAATTTGTACGTAAATATTTATATTGTTGTTGATAGTAATTGAACCCTTTCTAATTTGATAGGCCTTGCCGTTTCAAATTAGATTTTCCTAGACCTATCAATTTGATTGTTGTTGTAAGAATACAAACAAATACATTCCTAGACCTATCAATCTTTCCAAATCCAAATCCAAGCCTCATCGCCTTACTCATAAAGTATCCAATTACGATTTATTTTATTGTGAGAACAAACATCTCAATTCTAGTGTTAACTTTTTTTATTGAACCTGCAAGTATTGAGAGGGCCTTTTCGGCAATGAAATTTATCAAGAATGATCTTCGAAATCGGATGGGGATAAGTTTTCTCTGGTTAATTCATTAAAAAGGTGTGAGTAGCAATATATGTGATGAATGTATACTAGAAAACTTTCAAAATATTAAAACACATCGTGGTTGGTTGAGAAAAAAATGAAGAATCTATGTATTTTATGAATTGAAAATTTTGAATTAAATTTAATTAATTATTTTTGTTGAATACCCTGGTTGAAATTTCTGGGTCCGCCACTGACTATGAGTAACCAATCTGGACCCTTCTTTTAAGTGGCTGCAGATCTAAGGGTGGAGAATTAAAGGAATTTATTTTCCCTAGTTTTCTTGATTGGATTATATCTTCTTCATTCTAACTCTTCATTTTTTTTGCACAAATGGAACGAGTTTGTTGTGCTCTACAAAATAATAACCATTTTCAATATATTTTGAGAAAAAAAATTTCATACCCTCGTTACCAACTCCATACCATATGGTATCTCCTTCGTTTTTTATTCGTTTTCGAAATTTTTTGCACAAAAGAAACGATTTAATCATGATCTATTAGATTTAAATTTTTTCTGGGTGAAAAAATTTCATATCTCTCGTTACCAACTTCATACCATACTATACCACCCTGGTATGGGGTGGTATTTTTCATACAATATGGTATGCTGTTATTTAATACAGTCAATACCATATGGTACAGTCAATACCATGGTATAGACTGATAATAAATGACAAATTTTTTTGTTCGAAAAAATATCAAAGTGAATATCATTTTGAAGAGCACAATTAATTTGATCTAACTGTGCAAAAAAAAAAAAAATTCCGAGTTAAAACGAGTGAGAAATCGTCTGTTAAAGATTAAGGAAGGAAAATTAAAAGTTTTTCGAGGAGAGAGAAGGAGGTGCTGATGTGGCGGATTCTTATTGGGTTATGCATGAGGTTATAGCACCACAAGGTTACTCAACGGATCTGCTCCAGAGAAAAAGAATCAAAAGCAAATCAAAAGGAGGTGCTTTTGTTAGCATCGCGTTTAAGGACACAATAAAGAATATCAATTGTTGGCGTCAGGAGATGTCGATTAATAGGTGCGGTAGTGGAGAAGACAAGAGAGAGGGGATACGTGAAGACAATGCGGGTTTGGAAACTTGTGGGGTAGTACGGGACATGGTCGGGAGAAAAAGGGCAATATACGGGAGTAACAAAACTTTAGATTACGGGGGAATGAGTGCCATATTTTCAAAATCTTGGTTTGGGGATTTTAACCATATCAACGGTCCAATTCCAAACTCATTTAGTCATTTTACCCAGCCAAACACAGAAATTTGATCCAAATACCGCATTTTGTGAAATTGG